TGGGCTTTACTTTGGGCCCTCAGGGGCTCTTGGGTCTCAGTGTAAATAAGTCCTGTTCCTCTTCTGTCATGGTGGTGACCTGCCCGGACCAGTGCGGTTTGAACTCAGATTTACCTCGTCGTCATGTGTGCTTTGGAAGTTCATCCTACGATTGCTTCCTGTTCCTTCAGATGATCTGCTGCTGCTCTCACGTGCTAAGCAGCTGGCACTTAAACTGGATTCTCTAGCTGAAAACAACTGTTACCTATTTCTTTTCCATTTGGCTGCAGAGATGTTGTGTTTTCATTACCGGTTCCTCATTCTAGCCTGGAGCTGTGCTAGACTGCTCTGTGCTTGCTGAGCATTGGTTAATACTCTGGACTTCAGTCCCAAGCTTGAAGAATTTGGCTGCCAGTGTTTTCACGCTTCTAAATGTAGGTGAAACTCACTTTTGGTGTGAAATTCTTTCTGCTGTTTCTGAACAGCAGGCCAAGGCCTTCACACAGTCCATGGAAATGCTGATCCTCACTGCCTCATTCCATGGACTCTTCTTCCTCATTTACCATGCTCTTGGACATCCTCTTGGCATTCTTTAATCTGACCTTAGGGTGTATTTTGTGTCAGTCAGAGCTGTAGTACTTTGTAAGGCTTTGTGGTCATGGCAGTGTTTGGCTATTGGGAATATCTAGGGGGAAGATGTCATGTATTAAAATACTCCTACTTTGAGCTCCTTACCTCCTTCTCCTGAGGGGCTAAATCCACTTTGGAATTCAACAGGCAACTAAAATCTACTATACTTAAACACTGCCCAGCTGTGTCATGAGCTTGGCAGAAACCTGAAATTATGTTAGAGAAGGTTTTTTACTGACAGTGGCTCTGATAACCGTCCCAAGCTTTGAGAAACTTGTGTAGTAATGTTTGAGAATTATGTAGTGGTGTCCTGTTAACTTTGCAGTTTTACCGATAGCACTAGCTTTTAGTAGCAAGTTTTAACTGTCTGTATTCTCTCAGTATCCAAAGGACCAGGATATTCCCATTTGAATCTTTCTTCGAGGTGAGCCCTCAGCCGAGGATACCTGATGAAGGTAGGAACGAGCAGGGTCTCTGGGCTGCAGTTGTGCTGCAAGTGAGTAGTATGACAGCCTCCAGTCATGGCATAAAGCCTAACAGATATATTTCAAGAGAAATTCCTAGAAATACATAGCAGGATTTGCAAGTATTTTCGCTGCTGGTTGTACAGGTTCATTGAAGAGAGAATCCTGTCTCAGGACAGTGCTGTTACCTTGATGTGAATTCCTGCTCTGATACATTCGTTTTGCTGCAGGTTTCGGTCTGAAACATAAGTCTCAGTATGTAAACTTCAGCTCGTGTAGAAGTATGGTCCTGCACTGATGGCTTGGAACCACAGCAGTGATGTTTCTTGCCTCTTGTCTCAGAGGTGCACTGGAAATGCTGAGTTTGGGCCTTAGAAGTACTCCAGCAATGTTCAGGAGAACTAGCATGTCCATCAGCACTACAAGTTAGTATCTCTTCAGATGAGCAGCTGTCTTGACTGGAGAGGCTTTGCATATTTGGCTATTGTCTTGCTCTTTGTTGTTAAGAAAATAAATATCTGAATCACATCTTATTGGGAGGCAGTTTAATTCCAGTGTAGATTGAAGACATTTTTAATGTATGAACTTACTCACAAAGGTATACACATTGTTGGGGTGCTCTGTGAATGCTGATGGGATGTAACTGCTTCTTTGTTGGTTTGTTGTTAATATTGAGCATTCCTCATCTGGGAGAGGTAGGAGACAGTCTGAGAAGCCAAGTGATTACTTAATGGTCTATGGTTGTGTTCAGTGGAAACTTCAGCTATTTGCAATTGCAAACAAGGGGTGAAAACCTAGATACATAAGATTAATGTTGCAAACAGGAAAGCAAACAGTGTATGGGACCGAGCATCTGGGAAAGATCAAATGCGGTAAAAATCTGTTTGGTTGGAGGCAGGGAGGCCACCTGCAGGCAGTTTCCTCTGACTGCCAAGAATGCATGGAATGGAGTTTAGGTACTTGTTTATAAATTGAAACAACTGATTGTTCAGCTTTGATGATGAATTTTGAATTTTGTCATGTCTGGACGAACCAGACTGGTCTGATCTATGTCAGGTGGAAACAACATTGACAGTTGGCTGTTTTGGAAGTGTCTGTGTTGACTGGCTGGGCTCAGTGTGATGAAACTGGAGTGAAAACCAGAACTCAGTAATGGGCATGCTGGTTCCTGTGTAGGTCTCCTGCATAAAGTTGTTCTGATCTGGAAGGCAAAGTGGGCCACTCCTTTTTCAGTCATCTAGGCAACTATAGATTATCTTTTGGTGTACTTGGCCCTATCCAGGGGAAACACGCCATCTCTTCTTTGGCAGAATCACCAATTGTCCGTGTTTTCTTCACCAGCCATCCCAGACTTTTGCACTAAGGCTATATAAGGAATGAGATTCTAGACTTTGCATAGGCCTTGTCATAGGCTTTCATGTCCTTCCAGAGGAAGCTCTTTAAGCTATGCGGTTCCTGACTTGTGACTTGTCAGGTCTGGAAGTGAGTGCCCACGAACCTGAGCTGAGTGTGTGGCCACCCACAGCATCGCATGAACATGTGCTGTACTGCAGTTCTTCACAACCAAGGCCTGCCTTGATCAAGCTTGCAATCTGCTTCTGGTCTTCAGATCATCCGCTCTGGTGTGAAATGCAGCCTCTCAGTTAACTGAAGATAGCTCCTATTTTGACTTTAACCCAGAGCTGTTACCTGCAAAGATCTGTAGTCTTTCTGACCATTCTCTTTCATCACTACAAAACTCAACATGTTCTCAGATGCTACCATCTTCTTGCTGCTCTGTGCAGGCAGGATCCTTGGTCTTCCACATGGAGAGACATGAGTGGCTCTCAAGACCACTGGGAAGAGTCACAGTATTCCCTGCCCACGACTTTGTAGCCTGCATCTTTGTTTTATAGAAAGCTTATGTGTCTTAGACACAGCCCTAAAGCTCGTAACAAGCTACCAAGAAACTCTGGGCTAGGCAGAGAGTGGGCTACCATGGGATATGCAATGTGATGTTGGTCCTGTGGCCTGGCTGTGACTGTATCTGGTTGTTCCAGAGGAGCCTTGCATCACTCTCTCCTAGTCCCGCATTCTGGGTCATGTGTCCTCCCTAATCGCCCCTTGCCTCCGCATGTGTATGTCAATGTGATGGCCTATGCCCCCTCTTTCCTGGTCTGTACCTAGCGCTGCCTCAGTCTCCCTAGCTTTCATAGAGGTTCTGGTTTATGTGCTTCAGTAAACTCTGTCTCTTGTGTTGTCTGGTGATCACATGGCTTGAAAGGAAAAAATACAAGCGAACAAGTAGCAAGAGAATCTGTCCTTCTGGCCAGGATGGAGGTCAAAAAGGGTTAGTGGCCTCTTAATGCCATGGCTGGTGTATGCGAGTTCTCGGGCTGCCGTTTGCAGCACCAAGTGGTCATCTGTTACTAACAGGCAGCGTTCCCAGAAACCTCAGGTTTGCTGTTACAGGGTTCAGTCTGAGATCTCAGTTGCTGTATGCAAGTGTAACCAAGTGGTAGTTAAGGACCAGAACCCAGGCAAAGGTGAGAAAATGGCTGCATGCTCTGAATATTGTAAATCAGTGTGGAAAAAAGGGTATCTTTCAAGAGGGATGATGTATTTCTGGGCTGTCCTGCGTAAGTAGTGATCCTTGCTGCTTTTCTGTGCTGTGGTCTGTATGGGATGGTTATGCTGTAGGGGAGGAAGGAGGGTGTTGTTGAGTATATAACCTCAGTAGCCCCTTCCACTGCTCCATGTGCCTTCTGCTGGACAAGAGAACAGCTCTCGGAGCAGGGTGAGTAGCAAGAAAGATGGAAAGACTTGAACCCTTCACACTAAAGGAACCACTGGTGCATGTCATCCTTATTGAAATGGATTGGGTGTTGTGTCTAGGAGAGATCCAGTCTTTCCTTCAAACTCCTTATGTCCAAAAGATTTGTGACCTGGTTCTTACTTACCTAAATTTCTCGATTTCCCTAGCATGTCTGCTAAGCTTGTCCGTTCCCATCTGCTTGGGTTTTGTTCATGGGGCTGAGATCTCTGCTGGCAGAAGTCCACTGGTGTACAAAGACTTGCTTTGGGGAAAACTTGGCTTTCCCACACCACCTCAGTGGTGGCTGGGAGTGTCCTCTCCAAGATGAGAGTGCTTTATGGGTTATTGGCACCACTGCGATGGCAACTGTTTTATTCTGGGTTTTTGCGTAGAATGCTTTGTTGTGCCACATTTTGCAGATCCTTCCAGCTCAGGTTGGAAAAATAGCTTTTGGATGGAAAATCCAGGAAGCAGTGAACAGCTCGTTCTGCAATCCTGGGGGATCCAGCAGCCCTACTTGGTTCTTCTGTAGAAGAAGCTTACGATGATGTTTGCTTCTCATCTCTGGGACTGCCCTGTTTCTAGGAATTTCTTGGTTTCCAGAGTATGAAAAGGCTTTGTTCTGTGTGCAGGACTAAGCTTCAGGTGAAACAAGAAACAAAAGCACCAGAACACAAGCAGTTGGTCTGGGACTGCGTGCAGGACTGAAGGAGTGGTTAATGTGCCTGTGAGAGGTGGTTTTCCCTGTGCCTCCCCGGGCACACGTGCATCAGGAGCAGTGCCCGGGGCTGGCATTACAGGATTAATGTGCTGAGTGCTCTTTTCTGTACTGGAGGCCTCTGTCCCTACATGCCCCAAGGCAAACTAGGCTTCCAATCCTTCCTCTTCTTTCAGAGCTGGAGCATGGACTCTGTTCTCCATTCGCATTGTTGACTTGCCCTTGGTGTTCAGGTTTCTGCTTCCATACTGGGTCCACGGTAACTCTGCTGAAAATTGGGTTTAGCTTTGCTGGCAGCTGTGGCAGTCCAGACTTCTGCCTTGTTATGGCGGCTTCCCATTCTCTGTTTACCCTTTGCTGCCAAGACCACAAGGTAGTCTTTAAACTCCCTGTAATCTCTGCGTTTCATCTGCAGGTGATGACAAATATGGAAGGAAAGTAATTTTGTTCAGTGCCTGCCGGATGCCCCCAAGCCATCAACTTGATCACGTGAAACTGCTGGGGTGAGTAGTGTCTTAGGAGGCTGCTGTTAAGCTTGACATAATTCCTAGGTGCTGGATTCCTGGGACCAGATCTATGTTCAGTAGCTTCCTTAGCTGGACATATCCTCCCAAAGTGCTTCCCTCTGTTGCTGGGGATGCACATCCTCTGTTATGGCACACAAAAATTAGGCTGAAAGGGAGAAAGAACCTCTCTGTGGCAGAGCATGAAGCAGTTGTCTCTTCTCAGGTACCTGAAATTCACACTGGACCAGTATGTGGAGAGCGATTACACGCTGGTGTACCTACACCATGGCCTGACCAGTGAGAACAAGCCATCCCTGAGCTGGCTGCGGGATGCCTACAGGGAATTTGATCGCAAGTGAGTAAGGCTGCAGCAAGTGATATAACATGCTGTTCTGTAGTCTAACATAGAAGATCTCCCCCAGCCCCCCCATGTAGCTTGTTGGTCATAATTTACTATCCCTTATTTCTGCTGCTTATGGAGGTGGGTGGTTGTTCTTGTTATCCCAGACTGAATCACGGGATAAAAAGCTCCTTCTGTAGTTACATCCTTTAGGCCAACAGGCAAGCAGCAAAGCCGGGACCCATGGTATGATTGTTGCTTCCTGGTGAGGCTACTCACTACTTCTCAGTGAATCCTGGAATACAGTGGAGCATACCCTTAGGCTGCTAAGCAGCCTGACACAGCTATGAAGCATAGGAGAGAGGAGGTCATGGGTGCTGGGGAGTGGTGAGGCTTAGTGCAAAAGGAATGGAGCACTCGAGGTGCCTTAATCTTATGGAAAGGTTCATTCCTCTGCTTAAAGTGCAGCTCGTCCTTACTCAGCTTCTCTTGGCAGATACAAGAAGAACATCAAAGCCTTGTATATTGTGCACCCAACCATGTTCATCAAGACCCTGCTGATTCTCTTCAAGCCTCTGATCAGGTAGGAAGCACTATAGGAGGCTCACACACATGCTTACACTGCAGGGGAGTAATGGGGTATTCCCAGTGGGGCACAAGATGAGCCCAGGCTGCTGAGCCTACACTGGAGTCTTTCACTCTGTGCTATCTCCAGCTGTTTCTGATCTCAGAAATATTCAGATGCAAGAAGTACTGCTTTGGGAAACTACAGGGTTTGCAGCTCTGTGCTGCTCCCTTTCTATCCAGCCGAGTAGAAATAAAGTGTTGCAGGCTCTGTTAATAATGAAAAAGGAAGTAAGAGCATCAGTCCAAATTGTATTTAATTCATTGTGTTGATGCTGAAATCCTAACTCTAAAATAATTGAAACAAAAACTTTCTCCAGCCTACTGCTGAACTTAGGGAGGAGAAATGCAGTGTTTTAGGGAGCCTGCTGCTGCTAGGGCTTCTAATGTGGCTTGGAAAATCTTGGCATCTCCTGATAAAATATATGGAGTTGGAAAGCTATGTGGGTGACATCTCTGCTGCTCAGCCATACGTGCCCCTTCTCCTCATTTATGTCTCTTGCAGACCCCTGTTCTCCTTGCCTGTAAGAAGTCTGCTCTGATACTGGATTTCCTGATTCCTCACATACCTACTTTTCTCTTGTTTTTCAGCTTTAAGTTTGGACGAAAGATTTTTTATGTGAACTTCCTTAGTGAGCTGGAGGAGTATGTGAAGCTGGAACAGTTGGGGATCCCAAGCCAAGTGCTGAAGTGAGATTGCTGCCTGTCTCCTATTTCTTAGGGCTCTGTGAGAGGGGACCTTTCTGGAGGAATGGCAAGGGGAGGAAGAGATTGTTCCACTCAGGGTGTGGTTTGACAAACTGCCTTAAAGACTATTGTTTCTCTCCATGCTCCTTCCTGTGAGTCCTTGGCCCCAGTGCCCAGTTCTGTCCTTGAGTTAAAAATTCTCCTCCAGTGGAGAACCAATCCTGGTTCTTCCCACTCAGCCCTCCAGGGCCTTCTGCAAACTGCTGTCGTTATCACTGACCTGGAGCTCTTGGTGCACGTCTGCTGTGTCTGGGTAACTGCTTTGCTTGCTCTGCACAGTTCAGCATGTCTCTGGGGCTTCCCAAAGTTGCCACAATCTTGGTCCTACCAGATTGATTTTCTGTCCCTCGCGCACACGTGCAACTGTCTCATCACAAGCAGTGCTGTCCTGGCCCTCCCGTCCATGCTGTCTGTCATCCTTAGGAACTCCAGTTCCTGATTCCAGACAGCCATTCCTTTCTCCTTGCTTTTTTTCTGGCAACCAGATGTTTGTTCTTGATGTCCCTGTGCTCCAGAGCTGCCTGTCCCTTTTTTGCATAGGTGGCATCAACCATGCTAGGCTGGAGCTGTTACCAGTGGGTAGGCAGTGGGTCATGTGCAGTGCTGGGTTCATGCTCTTTCTAGGAGGTGGAGTGGCTTTTTACTAGTCTGTGTTTTGCCACAGATACGATGAATATCTGAGATCTCTGCAGAAACCTTCACAAGTGCCCCAGAAGCCAACACCCCCACGCCCACCACTGCCAAACCAGCAGTTTGGAGTCTCGCTCCAGCAGTGAGTATCTCTGGATTGTGTTGCTTTTGCCCTGACTTGTATTTATAACTGAACAGCAGCAAAGTTGGCTGTAAAATTTCATGCAGTTCAGACTTCCTACAAAGCTTGAATGATTCTTTTGAGGAACTCCATGCTCATGTCCAGATCCTGACTGACTCCGTTCAGTTCCACCCTCTTGATTCCCCAGCTAGATTGTATCTAAATCAGGATGAGAGTGTTTCTGCAGCTAAGGGTCACTAAAGGAGGGGCAAAATAAGGGCCATGGGGATGGCTTTATGCCACTAGAAACTTTCTTTAAGAAAAGGAAGTCTGTAGGAGGTGATAGAGGTGTCTTTAGGGCTATGCTATTTTGATTGAGCAGTGTTGTAGATTTGTTTCTTAGTTTTTTCCATATCATAAATTCTATTTTAAATGCACTTCTCTTTCCCCTTGTACTGATTCGTAGCCCCCATTCCTGCACGGTGACACAGGCAAACATAGACACTGGCAAGGGCTAGTGATACTGGCTAAGTGTTGAAGGTATTTTTAACTGGGTGTGATTTTTTTCCTCCTTGGGGAATGAGGAGGAGCCAGTACTTTGTGGCCAGACAGATCTTCTGAAGCAATCTGGGAACACATTCCCCAGCTTCAACATAACATTTCCAGATGTAACCCCTGTGGTGCTGTGTGCCTGAGCTTGTGAGTAGCCTGAGAGGGGTGAGCAGCTCCATGCTATCAAGAAGTACAGACAATCGCATATAAGGGTGGCAGTGAACACCTTGGCGTCACTTGGTCTTCCCTGACAGCCATTGGGTTGATATGTCTTCTGTTGCAGGAGTGGGGTGGGTGAACTTATCCCATGTATATTTCTCTTATGTCTCAGCTTCTTTCTGCCCTTGCTCCTATGGGGAAGGAAAGAAGAAGCTTAACCCTTTTCCCCTGATTCATAACTGGTAGCCTTGCCTTCTGGGAAATTCTTTGCCATGACATCTACAGGCTATGAATTTGTCAAAGATACATTCCTGTAGTGTAGTAGCTCATACTTGTTCCAGTGAATGCCGTAGCATGATGGTGAGTAGGAGAGAAAGCTGGAATAATGGCTGGACCAGGGACTGGGATAGCAAGATCCTATGTGGTAGAGCTTGAGTGGGCAACTTCAAGACTTGGGGGCTGCATGCAGGGCAGGGAGGACCAGTCGCTTGTAACCTTTTGTGTCTTCCTGCAGCCTCAGGGAGAAGAGCCCTGATCAGTCTCCTGTTCCTCTGGTGGTCAGAGACACCATTGCTCATTTGCGGGAGCATGGTAAGTGTTGAGCAGAAGCTGCAGCCCCTTTTAATTCCATGTCAGTGGCCTCTCCTCCACCCAAGTTCCCGTCTAGATTGCAGTAAGATACAGAAGAATCTGGAATAAGGTGTAAAGGCCTGAGCTAGGTGAGTTAGCCTTCAGAGAGATTGTGCAGGGCTTAGGAAACCTTTCTTCCACTCATCCATACTCCCACGTGTAAAAGAGTAACAAAATGCTCCTTGTATCCTTTGCCTGGTAGTGCAAGCGGAAAGAATTGCTGTACTCTTAAAAAAGGACTTGTTAACATCTGTCTGAATGCCCCACAGCATGGATGTACTATCGTTAAGACCAGCGGTTTTTAGATTCTCACATGGCTGATCTTTCTTCTCCATCTTCTCTCACTTCACAGCTCTTTCTACAGAGGGGATTTTCCGGAGATCAGCAAATACACAGGTTGTCAGAGAGGTCCAGCAAAAATATAACATGGGTAAGTGCCCAAACTCAGCAGAGCCCCTCTTATTCCCTAACTATTACTGTCCAACTGGAACTGTGTTGGAACTAGCCCATTATGGATCCTCTCCTCTGACAGGCCTCTAGTTGAGGCCCCGTCAGGATATGACCTGAGTTGCAAGGGAGAAGCAGCTGATACTTCTGCTGTTTGGAAAGCATATTCCTTCCCACTCACATTCCCCTTGCTGCTGTTTTTCTTCCTGAAAATTTCCCTGTTTCTTGGGGTGGGGGTGTACCTTTCTAATCTGGTTATACTGGAGTGACTGAAGACGACCAGGAAGAAACTTGGTCATCTGTTTCATTTGCTGACTTCTAAAGATGTAGTGCTGGATTCAGCAGTGCTTTGCATGTGCTTTTGGGGCATATTTTTCAACTTCATTAGAAGTTGTGGTGTTTCAGTACCCTCTCTGTGTTCTTCAAAACACTGCTTCCCTAGTTCTGATCTCTTAACTATCATGTCCCACTTTTTGTCTGGAGGAGGTCCTGCTTTGGCCAGTGAGCGCTGAGTCTCTGCTCTACTTCCCCAGGTGTGCCTGTAGATTTCCAGCAGTATGAAGATGTCCACCTCTCTGCTGTGATTCTCAAGACCTTCTTGAGGGAGCTACCCGAGCCTCTCCTTACTTTTGGCCTCTACAGCCATGTTGTCAGCTTTCAGAGTGAGTTGTAACAAGATTGTGCTACTGAATGTTGCACTGGCCAAGAGCAAAGATATCTTTGGGAGATGCAGTCTTGCATGGGATACGTTGTTAGTGCAAACAGGGCTTTCATCAGGCTGAGGATTCCTTACGGACCTGTTTGTCCTGTCTCTCTTGATTTTTAGGTGTGGAGGAGGAGAATCGCGTGGACCTTGTTCGCAAAACACTCCAGACACTGCCAGAAGAAAACTATGAAGTACTCCGTTTACTGACAGCCTTTCTGGTGGAGGTGAGCTGCTCCAAAGTTGGGCAGTCGTATCCTAGTTCAGCTGCCATCAGCTTTTTGACTGCCTGCTCCCTCTTTTCCTTTGAGAGGAAGTGAGTCTCAAGCTAGGAAATTGCCTTTCTTTACTTTATGTTCTTGTTATGCAGAGATCGAGAATTGGCATGATGAGCTAGCCTAAGCGGTTGCTTCTTGTAATGTTGAAAGGCGCAGGTGGGCATTAAGCCTGCATGGTCTGTATCAGGGAAGCTGAAAGCTCCTCAGGGTGGAGGTACTACTGCAAAATATCTGAGTAGAAAAGGGGTCTCAGACCCACCCTACAGAACTTTCTGCTGCTAGGGAAGCCACTGCAAGGCTATTCTAGTAAGAGGGAAGATAATTTTGTTTTGAGTGGTGATCTGCACTGCAGAGATATTGGCTGACAGTGCTCTTGGTCCTATTGTTACAATATGGCCTGATGGTCAAGCCATAGTGGCAAATGGTGAGATATGGCTCCTCACCTTCTGAATTACGGATGTCATGTGTGTTTCCCCCAGCCGTCTGCTGGCATTAGGCCTTCACGTTCTCTTCTCCCATTTGCCTTGGGGAGACTTTGGGGAGAGTAGAGGGCAGCTGCCGTGTTGTTCTGTAGGATTCACAATGATCTCTTTCCTTCCCACGTAGGTCTCTGCTCACAGTGACAGAAACAAGATGACAAACACCAACCTGGCCGTTGTGTTTGGCCCAAATCTGCTGTGGGCCAAAGATGTAGCCATCACCCTAAAAGCCATCAACCCCATCAACACCTTTACCAAGTTCCTGCTGGACCATCAGAAGGAGCTCTTTGTGGATGTGGAGGCCTGAATCCAGGCTGGCCCACACCAGCACACTGTGCCCACCTTCCCACCTTCTTTCCCATCTTGTCTTGGAGCTGTGACCAAGCTGTCTCCAGTGCAAAGGGACCATTGATCCTCTGGGTGATGAGCAGAGCGAGGGCTGTGGAGATAGTGTGTAAGTAAGTGAGCAGGAGACCTGCTGCTCTGAATGGGGAGGGGAGCTGGTCTCCCAGCTGACAAGAGTGGAGTCCTAACCCACCTGCCAGTCTGCGCAGCTCCTCCAGGGCTCATCACCAGTGTGCTGCCCTATCAGATGACCTGCCTTCCTTTCCTCCTTCCCTCACATGCCCTCCTTCTTCTGCCCCCCTGGTCCCTTCCTCAGCAAAGATCTTTTTTGTTTAAGCTCCCAATAGCCCCAGCTCAGCTCCCTTGCCTCAGTTGGGCTGTCTGGGCTAGGGCAGGCTTGCTGGGTTTTGTGGCAGATATGTTCTTGCTGCGAGTGCCATCTCTCAGCACTGAACGTGCATCCTGCCCTTCCCCAGAGGCACCTAAAGCAGGGAAGGGAGCAGGCAGCCCTTGTTCTTCAGGTAGCAGCATGCCCTACACTTGCAAACACCACTCTAGACCCCATGCTTTTGGCAGGCAAGTGAAGGATGGCCTCACACCACATGGGCTGTATTACCCAAACCCCTCTGGGGTCACTCACTCCAGAGACTGTTCAGCATTTGCTGGGGTGTAGTGAGTGAGGTGCCTCCCATATTTACCCAGCTCAGGTGTGTGTGTCCCTCCAGCAGCCTTTCCAGCCTGGCTGGGAAGGCTCTTGCCAGACCTGGCTGTGCGGGGGTGCTGGCTGGAGCCGTTTGACAGCTGGTGCTGAGCAAGTGCCCTGGCGGCACTGAACTGCTGTACACGCTGAGGATCACTGCCTTTCCCTGTGCCAGCAGCACAAGGCCCTTCTTCTCCATCAGGCTTGTGTATCTGTGCTGACTGGCACAGACTGCCTTGGCTCGTCGTCTCTTTGAGCAGAACTTTCCCCAGCACAGTGTAACAGGACGGCCTTGAGGGAAAGTCTAGGGACTGGGGCTAACCCTCATCCCTCATCCTGGAGCGCACCAGGCCTTAATTACAAATTTCTGCCCAGGCGCTAAGCACTCATGTGCCAAAGCTGTGAGGGAACAGCTATTCCATGCCAAGGGCATTTGCCCCATCTCTTCCTCAGTTCATACCTTCCTTCCCACCATTGAAGCCTGGTCAGATGCATCCTGTATGCCCTGGGCATGGCTGGAGAGATTGGGTTGGCTGCAAGGCAGGCTCAGAGCAGGGGTGGGCCTGGCACCTTCCCAAAGCAGCTGCAATACTGTTAGGGCATCACTGTTGGTTTTGGGTTGCAGCATTCCCGTTACCCGAGCTAAAAAAGATCTCTCTCCATAGCCTGGGCCCGGCAGGGTGTTAGTAGGGAGCTTCTAGCCTTACTTCACTGGTGTGCTGTATCTTTGTATCTTGTGCCCTGCATGCCTGGGCCAGTCCTCCCTGCTGCATCTGGCCACGGGGACAAATCTTTTGGACCAAGCAGAACTAATTTTTTAAATGTTACTGGATGCTAAATAGAATTTGCTTTTTAATAATATTTTAGCCTGCCTTTAAGCACTGACCAAAGGTTGGTGCCCCAGTTGTAATTAAAATAAGTGACATCTGCTGCAGGAATTATGGGAATTGCTCTTTCTGCTAAGCTCTGCAATGGGGCTGGGTGCGAACGTAGGCAGCTCTGTGGGGCAGCACAGGTCCAGCCAGCTGGCTCAAAGGAGGCACACCAACATGTGGGTGGAACAGTGAGCGAGAAACTGAGCATTCTTAAGGCTGGAGCAAGAGATGCTCTAGGAGAGGGCTGGGTCTGATCCCTTCTAGATACTGGAGGACTTTGCCCTTTGGAGTCTACAAGGCTGCTTAGTCTCCCTCTTCCAAGAGTAGGAGTCTTCCTTGTTTGGTCAGGATAGGAATTGTTTCAGCCTGAACAATTCACAGCAGTAACCAAATTGGAGCTAGAGATACTCAGCTCCTAATTCACCTGTGATCTCTGCTAGAGTAAGTTAGCTGGGCTGATGTGCCATGGAGGAGTAATCTCCTGGGATGGACAGTGTGGAGAGAGGGGTACTTGGCTCAGTGTTTAAGAGGCAAGGCTTTCTGGACAGCCTGGGAGGAGTGTGGAGGCTGAGGAAGCCCA